TCTACTTAAGGGGGCCTATACGTAGTCAACGGGTCGTTGGGCTTTCAGAAGCACAGCTGCAGAAGGTGCACCGGATTCGTATAGGTTTAGGGTTTGGGGTTTAGGGTTTAGGGCCTACTTGGAGGGTCAGGAGGACTTAGTAAGTAGGTTAATGGTGGGGATAATTGGGGGGTTTACTATATGGCTAATAGGGGTTATAAGTATACTTACTAAGTCCCCATGACCTTCCAAGTGAGGATCCCTGGCCAAGCACTTAGGGCTTAAGCAATTTTGTTTATAGGGGTTATAGAGTCATGGTATAGGGTTTGTATGAAGATTCTATGAGGCGATTGTATGGGGTATAGAGGGATGTTATCATCAACCGTGGCGAATGAACGGAAAGAGAACATGGGAACATGAATTGAGCATCGGGCTTCCTTAGGGGCTTATAGGGATCCAGATCATCCTGCATGACCCTAAGTGCCCTGCACTTTGAGTATTATAGCGTTATAGTATATTGAGGTCATGTGGGATTTTAGAAGCACCGGTAGGACCTGACATTGCCGCCAAAATCCCTGAAGCTCAATCCTTTATAACTCCAGGCTCAGGCTCAAAACCCCAAACCCCAAACTCCCCTAAACACTAAACTTTAAACCCTAAACCCCAAACTCCCCAACAGTCGTATCCCTGACCCTCAGCTCTAAGACTGAGACCCCTTAACTCCCCAGCTCGCTAAACCTTGAAGCCTAAACCCCAAACTCCCTTAAATTGCAAAACCCCAAACCCCCAGGCAGGCTCCACTGGACTCTAAACTATCAGTTGTTGACGGAAAAGACCCTGAACCACTTGATATGCCTACAGTTATGTAGTTTAGGGTCCCTAAACCCTGAACCCTAAACCCTTGTAGGGTGGTGCAAGATCTCCTTCATCCAAAATAATTTAGGAGTTCGAAATCGCAGCGCAGTATACCCCAAAGCCTGTTAAAGTCGGGGCCCTACATTGCCCCAAACCCTAAACCCTAAACACCCAAAACCCTAAACACCCTAAACCCTAAACCGTGTTATCATCCCTTCACTATCTCAGCCCCTGAGTCATCACACTTTACATTTCGTATTCCGTGCTCTTGTCCATGTGAGCCATAATTTAAACTCCTTAAAGGGGTCCATATAAGGGAGTATATAGGGTCATATAGGAGATTATGCAGGGTTTAGGTCTAGGCTTTAGGGTTTTGGGTCTAAGTTCCTCAAAGGGAGCTGTATAGGGGATTATATAGGGGACTACTGTAGGGGCTATTAAGGGCGATACTAGGAGCTTAGACTATGGCTTATTTGATTCTCTGCCTTTCTAGGATCCCTACTTGGCAGCCCATCAGAACCCCCCTGTAACTGCAGTAAACCCTCGGCCCTAAAATCCTACACTGCATTAGCTCCAAACACTTGCTACGCTAGGCCATGGCTCCTATCGACCCGCAGGGACTCCACAGGTGGGCCAGAGCAGTGTGGACTTCATGTAGGCTTCAGAGCTTAAACTTCTCGGATTTAAGGATTAACGGTTTTAGGGCTAAAGCTTCTAGGATTTAAGGATTAAGGGTTTTAGGGCTGAGTCGCTCTACATTGATGCCGAATGTTATCAGGGCAGGAACAATGAGAGCAAGTCAATCAGTCTCTCCCCAAAAAGGGCGTTTTAGATGACCTGCCATCGCTGCCCTCACTCCTAGGCAGACAGACATGAAACAGTCATTGCAGACTATATAGTCCATTTGCGTAAACGGGATTCCTACTGTAGGAGGTTCCATGTTAGCATTGGCGAAGTGTCTGGCGCCTGTTTGGTAATGGGAAGATTTTGGTAAGCCCAACCCCAAAGCTAGACCCTCTTATAGTCACATGGTAGCCGTGGGTCTCAATTTGGGGTGTTGGGGTCGCCAGAAGCCTCTTATTGTATGGGGCTTCGGGCCTCTACAGACAATTCCTGTGCCGGCGGGCTGTCAAAATTATGGTGTTTGTTTGGTACCATACATGTTCAACCTGATCATAATGAAGGCCCTACAAAATCTAACATTGGCAACCTAGCAGGGAGTGTCTCCAAAAGCGCAAGTATCGGACTTGTCGGGTTACTCTTCCCCAGGTGCTAAACTCGAAACCACAACAGTATCCCCCTAATGTGGCTACAAAATACCATAATATACCATAGCATATATAATACACCTTATATACTATAATATACTAGAATATATTGTAATACATCCTTATATGAGCCAATGTAGTTCCCTAGCGTTCCAGGGCGTTTTGTCCTAGGTAGACTGTTGACCTTTCAAGAACTGTTTGCGATTTTTCTATGTTTTGAGGGTAGTTTTTTTGATTTTAGGGATCCCTTGCTGCACTGACTAGGGTCTAGGGTAAGTTTTTCCCTACTGCGGTATAGTTCAGGGTTTAGGATTTCGGGTTTAGGGTTTAGGGCCCGAAGAAGCCATATCTGATCCCTACATCCTTATAGGATCCCTACAGACTCCCACCTCCAGAGCCTCCCACATAGCAATCCAGGCTGGCGTGGGCCTTTGCAAACCTGGGTCAGGCAAAAGGCGACCCGTTCCGCGAGACTTGGCTTTGGAGGTAGTATTCGCTCCCTCCCTTGCTTAATATCATATATTCCCAGCATGTTATACCTTAAACCCTAAACTACAGTGTACCACAATAGGAAGACTATTTATTCGGGCGGGTGGAGGGCTTTAATTGTTTGAATGCTAGGGGATGGTTTTGTCATTCCCCCTCCCTGTAACTGTCCCTGAAGTGTTTAGGGTTAAGGATTTAGGGTTTGGGGTTATGAAGGGGCTACTATGAGTCCTATTACCAGAAGCCCTAAACCCCAAATTGCAGGCTGATGTTTTTTCTTATTCTTGGCGTGGGGTGTTCTTCTGATCTGCCCTGCTGCTTAACTTACTGTGGGGTAGTAAGGAATACGGGAATACATCATATTTGGATTGTTTTCCCTAATTCCCTGAATACCACCTGTAGGGGGCATAATGTTCGGGACATGGAAATACCCCTAAACCCTAAACCCCGCAGACCCAAGGGTGAAAGGAACCTTCACCCGAGCTAACTTTGCAAGCGCTCTTGGCTTCATCCAACTCTTTAGGCTCTTATGGGTGCTTCCAATTTTATTTGGGCACCATCTCCATATATCTTCAGTTCGCATTTCATATTCCGCATTCTTTTCCATGTGATTCTCCGTTATTGGGAAAACGTGCTAATATGTCCTTGAATAGTCACACACACATATACATATATATATATATGTATGTTTATTCATTTGTATGACCCTACCTAATAGGATTTTTTCCATCCCTAAGCCCACACAGGAATAGGGTATCTTGCCATGAGGAGTCAGTCGCCTGGCCAGCTTTGCAATGCCTGGCGAAAATGATGTCACGATGTTGCCTGGCGTTTCTTCGTCTAGGGTGTAGGGCCTGGGTTTAGGGTTCAAAGCTTTGCAATGCCCGGCGAAAATGATGTCACGATGTTGCCTGGCGTTTCTTCGTCTAGGGTGTAGGGCCTGGGTTTAGGGTTTACGGCTTTCATTGACGTGTCCGCGCAGTGGTCGTGATACTGGCAAGGAATTGAGGGAACCCCGCTGCAAAAATTGTGTTCATCCGATTTGTACTCAAAACGCTGGGGCTAAAGAGAAAGCCTCACCCCTCTTGGAGGCTCATAGGTACTTGGAGTGGGGTCATGACAAGATTGCAACAGTTCCTTTAGCGTTTTGTTGAACTTCCAAGTGGGTAGTGCCAATATGCCTGGTGGTAGCTTTACGGTGATTGAATGTGAGCCCATCTTGTTGCGCGATCCTGTGCTGTGCTACCCTATCTGGGCTTCATATTGAGCGAGGGGAGTAAGGAGGGGGGATCCCATAATCTTGGGACTCAGGGGCTTTGCGTGGCGCTGTAGTTGTGCAGCTTACTTGTAGGTTCAGGGTGATGATAACCTCATATTTGGCACTGATAAATCAGTTATAAGCTTCAGAAATACAATCATTCCAATTGCGCTCTGAGAGCCAGCTAAATTTTGGCCAGAATTACCTTGAACCTCCAAGTAAGGAGTGGCCAAGCCATGCTTCGCACACAACAGCAGGGAACTAGAGCTGTCTGAGGTTTTGATAAGTAAAGGACTTGCACGTATATGGGAGCTTCTTGTTTTGGGACATAGGTGCAGACATGTTGGCTCAGTCCTTATGTGGCAGAACTCTCAATCTCCAACCCTTCGAAGGCTTCCTAGGCAGGATGGAGGAAGTCTTGTGCCGCTTAAGTCTTCAGGGCGCTAGCAGAAGGATGTTTTATACTGGAGTCAGTATATCCAATTTCTGGACAATCCGTTATAGCCTCTTTCAGCATGATACTGGCCTTGCCACTTTTAAGGTTCCATGTGAGCGTGAGAGGGTACATTCCTGGGCTGGCATGAAAGTGCCTCACGGCAAATGGAAGAAACACCAATTTCCAAAAGAATGCAGGTGTCCCTCCGGCGGGGCCATATGTTCCGGATGTCAGACATTGTTGAACAGCACCGATGGTTCCGTTCGTTCATTCATTCATTCATTCATTCATTCATATGTTTATACACACACACATACATGTTTTATACATATCCGTCAACCTGCATGTTTGTATACGCACGTATATGCAATTATGTGTGTGGATGGAGGTACGGAAGCCTCTCCAAGTTCGGTATCCAAGTGG